GTGGCCTGACCCTCTTTCCACATTCCATGGAGCTTACTCTTTTCTTTGAGTTTCACTAGAAGCTCCTTGTTCATTCATGCAGGCCTCTTGCCTCATTTACTTGATTTCCTACTCACAAGGATGCACCAATCCTGAGCACGGAGGAAGAGCTGCTTAAATAGCAGCCAGCTCTCTTGGACTCCCCTACCTTCAAGAGCCATAGCCCATGGAATTCTTCCAAGTAGGTCCTTGAAGAGGCCAAAGTTAGCTTTCCTGAAGTCCAACGTGGCAGTCCTACTTGTTGTTCTGCTTCCCCCTCTCAGAATCCGGAACTCCACCATCTCGTGGTCACTGCAGCCAAGCCTGCCCCCTACCTTCACATCCTCAACCAGTTCTTCTTTATTTGCCAGCACAAGGTCCAGTAGCGCTCCCCTTCTTGTTGGCTCCTCCACCACCTGGGTCAAAAAGTTATAGTTGATGTTCTGCAGGAACCTCCTGGACTGTGTGCACCTTGCCGTGTGGTCCTTCCAGTTGATATCAGGATAGTTGAAGTCTCCCATGAGAACCAGGGCCTGCGATTGCGAGGCTACATTTAGCTGTCTATAGAAGGCCTTGTCTACTTCCTCGTCCTGGTTGGGTGGTCTATAGTAAACACCCACCACAGTGTCACCCATGCTGGCCTGCCCCTTAATTTTTACCCACAAGCTTTCAACTTGTTCTTCATCCGCTCCCGGGTAGAGTTCTATACATTCCAGTTGCTCCTTTACATAAAGAGCAATTCCACTGCCTTGCCTCGTAGGCCTGTCTTTCCTGAAAAGCACATAGCCATCGACGGCAGCATTCCAGTCATGCATCTTGCTGTGCTTGTGTCATGCCACGCCATTGAATTAGTCCCATTTCCAACAGAACATAAAACAAAGATCAAAATGGAGGAAAGAAAAGTAAAACAAAGGTGGTGTGACCTAAATAGAGTTCTGTAATTCTCAAAACTCACTGTTGTGAAGTAGTGTAGATGGGGATCATATATATTACTGGTTCCCATGTCTCCTTTTATTTGTACTATGGGAGGATAATGAAACCACTGTAAGTACATTTCTACTAATTTTTTTCTGTCTCTCTAATCTCTCATGTAAATCTTTTTGATACATGGAACATGAATCCTCTGAATGAAAGTAATCAACCAAAGTAACAGAGCACTTTGTGCAGAGACTTGTTACCAATAAGATTTTCCTGCTCTCCAAGAGGAGGCAAGCATTAAACATTAAACAACAATTCATCAGGTTGTATGTACACTGAATTAAACAGAATTTGTATTACTGAGATTGATTTTTCTCTTGGCGTACAGGTTGCCTTACCAGGCATAAGTTAACTTTGATTTTTTTCAGGACATTTATTTTCTGTATTTTATAACTAATACCTTGAAAGCTCTGACCTAAGAAGAGGTGGTGGTGGATTTTTATTGGCTTGAAGTGAGAGTCAGGGAAGGAAGAACTACTTTTGTTGCAGAAGGGAAAGTGCTAAAATACAAGTACGTAATTTTCTTGCATGCATTTCCACATCCATGGAGTTCCAAAACTGTCTGGTATTTCCTCTGCTCTGTTGGTAGTTGTCCCTCCTCATCCATTTCAAAAAGTTTGTTCTCCAGCCTGGTCCATGGGTTCTTTCATGTTATTACCCAGTTCCTGGGATGGCACTGGGAGAGGCACCAGCATAGACACGTTTTCAGAGGCTGCAGCTCCTCATCTGTGTTGCAGAATTACCGTAAGAGCAGATACACGTTAGTGGGCCATTGGCATTTGCTCAGTGCTAGTGCTATTGCCGCTGTCATTTCAGCAATGATACCAAAAAAAAAAATGAGCATCCTTTTGTAGGGAAGAGTATGTAGGCAGGGCCTTGCAAGGTGACTTGGCCTATTAGGATGTATTGGTAAGAGCTATTAAGATGTCCTAAAACCACAAGCATTTATTGGCAAATAATGGTGAATGGAGGTCTTAAATTCTGAGTCTTTAACAACACACAAAACCAGCAGTTCTCTGCATATTGTGTATTCAAGGTCTGTATTTCTGTGTGTGTTACCACGTGCCATTTCTTTACTCATTGGAGACTGCTGCTCTTTGAGGCAGGATAGATGACAGGTAAGGAAAACGGAGCACTGTGAGAGCAACACACCACACTCTGCTTGAAATGATGTGTTAAGTCACAATAATATTATTAAATTGCTCCAGCTAAATGAGGTTTGTTTTCGGGTATTAAGATACATAGCCAGTGGACCTGCTGACAAGGGACTCCAGTTGAAGACCTGCAAGTTCTGTACTATTCTCATCCACGAAAAGTCTCTATGTATCACCTTTCTCAGTAGAAAGATCTAGCTGTTAATACAGCAAGTACAGGAGAGGTTACTTCTGGTTAATTCGCCTAGCTTTCAAAAATAATTTTTCAGGCTGATATAATTAATTATACCCACCCACCCCAACATTAAATGCATTCACAGTCTTGATAGGATTTGCACAGAAGACTGCCTGAAAATATCAGAAGTCTTTTTAAGACCTGTTTTACTGCTGGAAATGCTCAGTTCCACAATTAGGCACTATGTGATTATAGTACTTTGTCATTTAATTCCTCTTTGTTCCTTCTTTCCTTTGCTAATGTATTCTGTAACAAAGTACCTTATTATAAAGCTACGTTTGTTGTTTCCCTGTGTTACATTCACATGGACCTCTAACCTGATCCTGGATATTAAAAGTCATACTAAAGTCTTTGATTTTTGTCTTGTTCTGTTTAGCCACGAGCAAGTTCATATGTTTAAGTTGGAGATAATTGAGACATGAAAATGGGTGTAAATAAAATGGTTACAAACGTTAACACTGGCTTACTATATATGAATGGTTAATATGTATTATTAATCCCTTAATAGTTAGAAATTCAGTATGAGCAAAGTAACATTTCTAAAATACGCAGGATTTTTAAACTTTTTTTTGATGTGTAGTTGTGGCATGTGAGTTTAGGACTTTTAAATTTGCACTTCTTGGGTTTTGGCGGGGAAGGGACTAATGGGTTAAGAGATTGTTTTAAATAATGATGCAAGTGTCACCTTGAAATATCTCCTAATGAAAATATTGAATGGGCAGAACAATTATACCCTTGTCTGCATTTGTAATCAGAAAACACCTTATGCTGGAGACCATATTAACTAACATGACCTTAAACATAAGTTTGACTTAAGTTTTAGTGCACAAGTGCAAAGCTTAAAGGAAAAACGGTTTGGCAGCAGCTCACACTCCCACTAAAGACATGTACTAAAAACGTCCACAGGTTTTTTGTCCTGTTGGCTTCTCTGAATGCTTTAATTGTACTTCATGCTTCAAATCTATTGCTGATTTTTTTTTTTTCCTCTTCTCTATTCTCTTTCAGAAAGACGAGGTGTACCTCAATTTGGTGCTGGACTATGTTCCTGAAACAGTATATAGAGTTGCCAGACATTATAGTCGGGCCAAACAGACACTCCCTATGATTTATGTCAAGGTAGGTAACTGATAGATGTGGTTAGATGAAGAAGGATATTATAGGAATAGACTCTCTGGATATCTCTTTTCTGACTTAACTAGTTTTCTGAATTTTTTAGGAACGCATACATCTTGAGGCAAGAAAAAAAATATTAAAATGATTACTTGTTACCGTGAAGGAAGAACACAGGCGAGACGCTTAAGGAGTGTTTTGGGTTTTAAGCATCTTAAATAGAGACTGACACCAGCCAGATTAGCAGCTTCAGTTTCCTGAGATGATGCAGGCACAATAGCACAAAGGTCAGGAACTGAAAGAGGATGTCAGGAAGAATAGTGTTCTCTTATCTGTTATCTTCCCCCTTTCCTGGTATATGAGTAAGAGTTCATGTGCTTCTGTTGTGGGCATGAAAGGCATATTTTTGTCACCTTCCCTTCACTTGGAGCTCAGTGGCTCTTGTCTTGAAGAGGCTACATGGAGTAAGATGTTTGTATGCACATTGTAGCCTCAAAACCTCCCTTAAGTTGTCTTCATCTTTTGTCATCTTTTACAAAGTGGTTAAAATGAATAATTTTTTTCTTTTTTGTCAAGCATGAGACCCATCTGGGTCTCATAGTTCTATTTCGTATATTGTGACCACAATCTACACACTAGTGAATGATCATGTTTTCACATAGCATCAACTTGTTAACATGGCATCCAGGTAACATGAAATGAAAATTAACAATATTCCAGATTCATAGTGATTTCTCCAGACTCCTCTTTAAAAGTCTGATGCTTTAACATGAGGATGGGCTTAAGAAAAAACCCCTTTAATTTGATTGAAAGAAGATGAAAGTTACAAATAGTAATTATTCCAGTAATGAAGTGTTGTGCCATAACTGTATGTGCATAAATGTAAATGGCATGTCTCCGCAATAGCCAGCACTGGTGCCTTTTTTTAAGAAAGCATAGAATCTTGTCACCCAGCAGTAAGAAATTCTGCTACAAGGTCACTCTGTTTGGTCTGTTGATGGAACAGCATGTCTTCAGGTTATATGCTCCCCAAAATTTCTTAGCTTAGTTTTTGATAAATTGGCTTTTGTCAAGTACTCTTGCCCTAATAGTTGTTCATTATGGAGACTTGGAAAAAAATTGTCCATACTTAACTTTTGAGAGAAAATTCTACTTCAACTCCTTCATCTTGCTGGATACTTGGGACTTCCCATTCCAGGTAGCCTGGAAGGCTGTTCTTATTTTTCTGGCAAGGCAAGCCTTTCTCGTAATCCTGTATTTAAAAGGATCATGTTACCTTGATGTCATTAAAGCTTTTGCAATTTTCCAGACATCTTGTCTACACAAAGGTCAGATCATACCTGTTTCTTCACTTCTGATTGATACCTAGGCAGGCAGTGCACTGCTCTTCCCTGGGTAATAAAGAAACTGTTGAAGAGCTGCAAAGAAGCTTTCCTAGTAATCTTTTTGTTAATTTTTACTTGTAACTTGTAACATGCTGTAAGAAATTCTTGGAAATTTTGGGTTTGCTGTGTGGAGATGAAAGGCATACTTTCTAAATCCTGCATGTGTTGACTTGACTTCTCAAGTTAGAGCAATCTTGGATTATTTTGCAATACACTTGCACAATACATACTTGACGTGTCTAGAACAGGCAATTCAGAAAACATGTTTGTTTGCTTTTCTTTGTGCAGAGTTGTGGTTTTGAGAAACAAATATGAAAACTAAAGACCTAGAGCCAAAATTCAGGCAATTCTCTTTCCACTCCTGCCTTCCACACCAAATGAACAACAGAAAACAAGGGAGAGAGACAGAGTGAAAGACAAAGATAGTGGTGAAAGTGAGGCAAATGTGACCTGACATCAATATCTAGCAATTGCACCCGGTTTTACAGGCCATTAAAGGTGAACTGTGGAGAATGAGCTTAGAAAAGGAAAGCATGGAGTTGCAACTCGAGTACAATACCCTGCCTGTAGCTTGATATTTCCCCCCTCCCCCCCTGAAATGGAACCTGGGGGGAGACACAACAAAGATAACAAATAACCTGGGAGCCTGTTGTCAACCTTGAACCTGGGCTTCCCGTGCCTTTATGACTGTATATGCTCTACAGTCCTAATTGTGTCCAGCAGCTCTTTATTCTCCATGGCCAAAAATGTGTAGCTCCAGCAGCTGGACATCCTCTCCTTGCCCTGTGAAGCTCTTGGCTTCATAACACTTCCCCTTGCTGTATTCCTCCTTGCTAATGGGCTGGTTAGCCTTGGATAGGGGGCAGAGCAAACTCTCCCTCAGCATACTTGTTTGCTGTGCATTGCGTAGAATTATCCTCAACAGTTGTTTTTATCTGCCCTCTCTTTTTGCCTGGAGATTTGAAACGAAAATGAGTCTGTCCCCTCACCAAGAGAAACTGGGAGATTCACTCAAGTGACAGTCTGAGACACTACCGTAGTCCTTGGGCAACATTTAATATGTTGTTAATAACTTCATCACCTAAAGGGTTTTCTTCGTTGCATTTTTTAGTTTTTGGTTGGTTTTTTTTTTTTCATTGCCTAAACTGGAATACTTGATTTCTATGAAGAGGCTGATTTATAAAGCAAACTGGAACATCTTTATTTTGTGTGTGTGTTTTATGACTACCATTATTTATGAATGTTGGAAAGCTGGCACAATTATTTTTTTGTAGTTGTGCTAATTTTTGGAACGACAAACGAACAAATTTGAACTGCTTGTGTGGATAAGGCCTTTGGGAGAGGTATGTGAATACCTTGCCCATCTCCATAGCACTAATATGCATTCAGCAGGGTCTTTTTTGAGTTGTTATGGTTTTAGTCTAATAGGAGTTTGTGCTAAAATTAATTGTTTACACTGTTTTGACTGGGAAAGCATACCTTATGCAATGTTTCCATGTTCCAGTTGTACATGTATCAGCTGTTCCGGAGTTTAGCCTATATCCATTCCTTTGGGATCTGCCACCGGGATATAAAACCACAGAACCTCTTGCTGGACCCTGATACAGCTGTTCTAAAACTCTGCGACTTCGGAAGGTAAGCACGTCTGTGGCCTGAAGCCTGGTGGAAAGAGCTTCCTTCAAAGGGAACCTGGGTGCAGTTTTGCAGAGAAACCCTCTGTGTTCCTCTGAAGGTCTTCATTTGTAGTTTTGAAACTACAAATCAATATGGAGGGAATTAATATTCAAGGCTGTTATTTGTGCAGGTAGTCAAAAAAATAAAATATGCCACTGCATAGGGAAAATACTGTGCCGTGGAAAAATACAACCAAATACTAGGGTGAAATGTGTTTGGGGAAGAGAGGACAGGCGCAGTGGTATATTAAACTGAAAAGGCTGATGTTACACTTTATTAGTCTACTTGAATGTACACCAAGTTATTTAGTATTTCAAATACTGTAGAGGCTCAAGATCAGAAGCAACACTTCTAATTGAAGCTCTTGGATAGTGATCATCTATACCCTAGGTTCCAATGGCGCATTTATTTCCACTCTCCATTCAGGTGAATCACCTTTAGAGTCCAGCCCTCATCTTGAAACTGATCCAGAAATTCTGGGAATCCACACTGAGACAGGAGATGGATTTCTCTCCGGGGAAGTTCAGTCTTTAGATTGTGCTATAACTTTGCAGACTAAAATAGTTAGGGCGTATGTGCAAGGGGTCACCGGAGCTGCTGTTGCTAAATTCACTTGCCTGTAGTGAGTGGGAATGTCAGATGGTGGTTATTCAAGCAGTGCATCGTCATGCCTGGTGGCTCGGGAATCTCCTCCTCAGCTCTGCCTCACCAGTGTTGGAGCAAAATAGGAATTGCGCTGAAACTCAAAAGTAACAATGCATAAAAAGATGGTAATTCCTCTGCATTAACAGTGGGAATTTGTTAATTGTAGTTTCTAGAAAGAAAACAAAAAAATTAGACTTTTTAAAACAGGCTAAATGGGTGGTGGGAGTCTTTCCCTGAAGGCTGAGAGGAGTGTCTGGAAGGCTGGATGTTGGATTTGGCTGGCTTGCCACTCAGCTGGGTTTGGTGCTACTTAGTTGAATGTCATATTTCTAAAAGGGCAGTTTTGTCTTCCTGCTCTTTTCCATCTAACACTTGGTGTTAATTAAGAAAGAAGCATAATATGTTCATGGGCTCATGTTCCAAAAGTAATGTGCTCTCATGTTCCTTTATTTTCTTAGACGCTTCCAAAAGTAGTGGTTACTGTAGGTTAGATCCTTTGTGACTGATCTCTTGCAGTATAAATTAAGCCTTCATGTTAATCGTGGACCATTAACATGTGACTACACTGCAAAGGTTTTTTGGGGTTTTTTTAAATCTTTGGCTGCTCATACCCCTTTTGCCTCATACCACACTCCCTTAAACAGCGGAGCCAGATATTCTGATGCAAGTTTAAAAAAAAAAACAAAACA